CATAATTATACCAAATAAACTTGTGTAATCAATGAGATTGAAGAAAAAATAAGCGCTAATTAATTAACTAAAAGGATAATTAGGCAAAGAATCAAAACAAATAAGTAGTAAGCGATAATAAAATTCTAATAAAACCGTTTAATTGAATAGCACGTAGATAAAATAATTGGTGAAAGAAATAAAAAAACCAATAAACGACGCTATTTTCTCTATAAAAGGACGCCTTGACCTTGAAGAGTTGAATTAAGGATTTCTGAATTCGTTTTTTCCTCTGCAAAAAACAATGGCGCTCCGAAAATTGGCCGCCGCGGCCGTTTCCGGATTAAAGCCCCGTTTAAGCCCACCGCTCACAGCCATGAGCCGGATCTTACATCGCGATCCTTCTTCCGGCGTCCGTCGTTTCGGCACTCCGGCGCTCGGCCACAATCTTGAGCAGAACAACATCAACAACAGCTCCGCCTCCGCCGCCGCTGACGATAATCTCATTCTATTGGTGAACCCGGTTAAAAACAGAAAACACCACAAGATATCCCTACTCTCAATGGAAAACAACTTGCTCAAATCAGTTCTACCCAATCGCCCCAATTTCTCTCGTCTGAATAGCCGCGGCACACGCAATGAATTCCTTGCCTTCTGCGACAAGTGGTTGGTGTTTGCCTCCGGCGGCTGGCGTTCCGAAATTCCGGCCGACCTCATGTGGGACCCCACCACCGACGAGATCAGACACATTCCTCAATTCCCGATGAAACCGCGGCTGCCCTCATCTCATGACTCACCCTATACTCTCTGGGGCGTCGGGTTCGACTCTGGCTCCGGCGACTATAAGGTGGTCCGGGCTTCAAATGAAAAACGGGCCGAGCTCCTATCTCTCTCCACCGGCTCGTGGAGGGAAATCCGGTTCCCTCACAATCCGGACAAAATCGTTGTTGATAACGTGCGTTCAGTTCACATAAACGGCGTTTATTATTGGTCCGTGCATTTAAATGACGATAAACGCGACGCTATTCTTCAGTTCGATTTCGGCCGCCGAGAGTTTCCGGCCGATCTCATTCACATGCCGAAAGTCGTGACCAATTGGGCCGGGCCCATTAAGCCCGTTCTTGTGAACTATCACGGTTCGCTTGCCGTTATCTTACAGAATGGTTGTCTTGGTCGGCCTAAGGAGAATAATCATAATAATTCTTTGAGGTTCGAGATTTGGGCGTGGAGCCACGCGGACCGTAGCTGGTCTCGCATGTCCGTGGATCGTGTCCCGGTGAATGCTGATGTCACCGAGGTTGTGGGGCTATGCAATAATAATAGTGACAAAGTGATTCTCCTCGACTCAGTCGAGGGTACGATTCTGCTTTACGATTGTGAGACGTCTGAGTTGGAGAGTTTCAGCGTAATGGAAGGATGGTGGTCCCATTTTCTATCTATTGCAACTTTTCTTGGGTTGGTTTCACTTTCGAGTGTTACTTATTATCTTGTTAAAAACTTTTGATTGATAGGATTAGGCCTCTTGTTAGAAACTTTATCTTGCATAGTTAGTCTACCCTTTTAATACTTTTTAGTATTGCTTTATATTTTCTTATTTATTGTTTAGGCCTCTTGTTAGAAACGTTCTTATTTTATAATACATTTATCTTCTACGCTCTTATGGTCTTGAGTTGAGAATTCTTGTATAGAGTTGCTTTTATCTAATAGTGCGTTCATCTGCTACATAAAAATGGTCTTGTGTTAAGAATTCTTGTATTTTTTTTTGGAGAAGAGATGGGTTAATTAACTGTCCAAGGAGAAAGAAAAATAAGCTGAAAAAGTACGTACATTTTTTATTTTGTACCAGAATACATATCAAAACCAAACAAAGAAAAAAAAAAAACGGATCTGCTAGAACTAGAATACAAGCAAAAACCAAAATAATCCAAGAAAAATCAACATTTATGTATTTCATTTGATAATTGCAGGTCTGTTGGCATATTTCTTGGTTTTTGAACTTTTGATCATTCTCTTAGATAATTCGGTTGCCAATGCATACATCTTTCCAGCGAATAACTCATCGGGAAATCCCTTTTGATCCTTCGTTTTATTGACGTGCAGCCTGCATTTTTGAAAGAGCCGCTTGAAGTACAAGTCTGTATAGAATGTCCTTATTGCAAGTAACATCATGATCAACTAGCAATACACATTAAAGTAGCATCATGATCAATCAGCAATACACATTTAAAAATAGTGGAAAAATTCAAAAGAAGTTGGATTTAATATTTTTAATCAAGTATTTTATATTTCTAAAAGTCGTAGGAGTAGAATTCAATACACGAACTCTCAGAAATTATTGAAATTATTACGAAGCACGAGAAGTCGACATAGGTTAAGGATATTTTACATTAATATGTAGAAGGGGATATCTTGAGTCTATGAAGGTGAAGGGATGGCTTCTGTGTGCTTTGCTTATTCAGTGTAGTAAAGATGATTGTGCTCTTGTGGGATGTTGAATAATGTTATGTGTTTGGTTAAATGATGGGATTAATTGTTAATGGTAACCAAAACACTAAAACAGATGCTTCCAAGTCCTGTGGTATCATCTTAATTTTTGATTTGTATTGTCGTTACACTGAATTTGTAACTCTGTGGCTGGTAGTAGAAAGATGATGCCATGTTAGTATATTGTTGGATAGTTTTATATGCCAGTTAGGTGTTCATATAGTTTGATTATTGAAGTCTTCGTGGCCCAGCGGACGTGGTTTTGATGCAAGTTTGTAGTCCATTCATGAGTTTGTTTGTTGTATCGATTAAGCTTGGCTTTGTCATCTTTTGATTTTGTATATATGCTAAAGTTGTGTTGTTAGTTACTTAATGTAGCATATCTATTGAACACCGACAGCCTTCTGTTATGCCTGATATTCGTGGTTTACTGGTGGGTTTCTACAGCAGTTGACAATTTAGGATGCTATGAAAGAGCTTGTAGTAGTAACAAAATCATCGGATTTGTTATCTATTTATTTATTTTTTCTGGTTTTGTGACTCTTTATATGGACATAATCATTGTGGCTACTTCATGATCTGTCGTACTCATCAGTTGGACCTTTGATTAACTAATGGAACATT